TGACAACTACTATGGCAGACGACTTCGTACTAGGTGCGTTCTACATAGTCGCCCTGACAACAAAACCAAGTTGCGACAACGAGGTGAACCCACTTCTATCAATCGAAAGGAGACTGCGACCACACCAGAGGCCACAACATCTCGGTCTTCATATATTCAACAGTTTTTACTTGACAGCAATCCCGATTCATGTTCCGGCAAAACCATTTCACGAATTCTTGCCACCCAATTTTCGCCCTACAAATGAAAAGGTCATAAAAAAAACCGGTATTTTTTCAAAGTGTAGCTTGACAGTCTATCCAATCGGCATGCAAAGTTTCGAGCTGGTTCGTGACTCACTTGATTCGGAACTCGCGGAATTGTATTTGGATCGGGAATCACTTCGAGCTGATTGAATAGATCGAACCAGAATACGGGATTCGGATCACTGGCCGCATTCAACAGACTCGCGGCCAGCCGGGCCGGAGTGATCGGTTTCAGTTGGCCGTTGATCCGACGACCGATATTACGCCCTCCGACGGGCAGAAGCCCAGACAGTTGCCCGATGGAACAGGTCGTCGAGGCCAATGTGGGCAGCTGAAGGGTGTCAATGCACGATGTTGCGTCATGCCAGACCTTGCGTAGTTTGCCTCGTCTGCCGGAAGATTCGCCGCCGATCAGCTCGTCGAACCCCTCCATTCCACTCGGTTCATGGCCCGACATCAACTTGGTCTTCTGCTTTGATAAGTCGTCTCGTTCGGCCGCCTTGGCCCGTTCGGCGGTCTCTTCCGTGACTTCGGTCGCGGCTGTGACGCCATCTTCAGCCGCCATCTTCTCGTCAGTGGGCTCCGATTTCACTTTTTCCTCTCCCCTTGCCTTCGCAGGCAGAAACGCCGCCACGGCGTCCGTAGGCAGGGCACCCTCGTCACGGTAACTTAGGTTGGATTGCCGTCGGCTGTACGAAGACAACGAGCCCAGGCTGTGGCAGTCGGAGCGGCTGTTCTGATTGGGCCAAATGTGAAAAGTAAAAACAAATGAAAGGCAAGAAAGAACGAAAAATAATAACATGGCTACTAAGTCTCAAACGTGGGCCCACCAGTGTGACAAAAAATGTTCTGAAACTGGCATACTTTGTATTCAGTTTAAGAAGGCGGGTGTAAGGGATTCGTAGATTCGCCTCACTCCATACCAAATGAGAGTTGCCCTGCACTTTTGTCTGTTGTTGAATTGAGCGAAGAAGACCTCAGCTCACTGTCCCCCGACCTTGATAACTCAGTACTAAGATTTCGTCCGAACAATCACCAAAAAACCCTAAACCATGAATAAGAGGAATGAATGTAGGAAACTGAGTAATAACTATCTCTGGCTATTAAATATAATTATAGAAAAATAGATAGATTGATAGATTGATAGATTGATAGATTGATAGATTGATAGATTGATAGATTGATAGATTGAT